GACCTCTATCCTGAAAACTACAGCACCCTGAAAAAGGAGATCAAGGAGGATATAAGAAAATGAAAAGACATCCCTTCTTCATGGGTAGGACAACCAATATAGTGAAAATGGTCATACTTCCTAAACTGCTATATAAATTTAATGCAATGCTGATTGAAATTCGAACAATATACTTCACAGAACTGGAGAAAACAATCCAAAAATTTATTTGGAACCAGAAGAGACCTAGAATAGCAAAAGCATTTCTGGGCAAGAGACATGGCTGGGGGTATCAAAATCCCCAACTTGAAGCCATATACTACAAAGCTACTGTGATAAAAACAGCATGGTACTGGAAAAGAAACAGACCAGAGGATCAGTGGAATAAATTAGAAGACACATACTCAGTCATACTCAGCCACCTCATCTTTGACAAAGGAGCCAACCACCCTCATTGGAGGAAAGATAGCCTATTTAAAAAATGGTGTTGGAAAAACTGGATTTCAACCTGCCAAAGATTAAAACTAGACCCATATATATCACCATGCACTAAAGTAAGATAAAGTGGATTAAAGATCTAAATATTAAGACAGAAACACTAAACTTGCTGGAAGATAAGTTAGGTAGAACTCTTGAAGATATTGGCATAGGAAATGACTTTATGAACAAAGCCTCAATAGCATGGAAACTAGCAGAAAGAATCAACAACTGGGATTTCATCTTATTAAAAAGCTTCTGCACTGCAAGAGAAAGCACTAACAGAGCTAACAGACAACCTACAATGTGGGAAAAATATTTACCAGCTGTAATTCAGAAAAAGGACTACTATCTAGAATATATAAAGAATTGAAAAAAATCAGACACCCCAAATTCAAAGAGCCAATTCAAATATGGCATCTGAAATGAACAGACATTTCTCAGACAAAGAAGTAAAAGCAGCAAATAAACATATGAAAAAATGTCCAACATCACTGGTCATTCAAGAGATGCAGATGAAAACAACACTGAGATTCCACCTTACCCCACAAAGAATGGCTGCTTTCAAGAAATCAACCAATGACTAATGCTGGCAGTGGTGTGGTGAGAAAGGAACCTTTCTCCATTTTTGGTGGGAGTCCAGAATGTTGAGACCACTATAGAAATCAGTGTGGAGGTACCTCAAAGTACTAGGACTGGAGGTCCCATTTGACCCAGCTATTCTTCTGCTGGGTATTTCCCCCAAAGAATTAAAAGAATAATACCACAGAGATACATGTGCACCCATGTTTATAGCAGCACAGTTTGTAATAGTTAACACTTGGAAACAGCCCAAGTGCCCATCAACTGGAAACTGGATAAAGAAGATGTGGTTTTTTTTAATGGAGTACTACTCAGCCATAAAGAATGAGAAACTAGAGTCATTTATAGCTAAATGGATGCATATTGAGACCATACTCTTAAGTGAAATGAATAGGACACACATGTGTAAATACTGAATAGTTTCTCTAGTGTGTGAAACTGAGAGTGTAAATAAGGATTGAAAGGATTAATAACTAAAAATTTATACTTTGAAATAGAAAAAGATCCAAAGGGGTAGGTGTGGTGGGAGGGGAAAGGGAAAGAAAAGAATGGAAAGGAAAAATTATGAGAAAAAAATATGGAAATGAATCTATGTAAATAGGGAAGGGTGGAGGGGTGAAGAGAGTACAGGTATTGGGGAAAAATAAGAACTAAGATACATCATGTACAGGTACAAGCACCCAATGATAAATGTAAATGTATTGTATACCTAAAATGTACCCATAAAAATTTAAGCAAAAAAATTTTCTACATTGCATTTCATGAAGAAAATGTTAAGATTTCTATGTAACAATAAAAGTTTGCAATTTTTCAAAGCAATCTAGAAGAAAAATGACAGAGCTGGAATCATCATATTACTTGACTTTTAAGTCTTGTACAAATTTTTTGTGATCAAATTACCCTGAGAGTAGCATAGAAGACAGACACATTGGTACATAATTCAAGAGAGTGAGCCATCATTCAAAACCAGTGATCCAGTATAAAGTGCTGAGAACAGAGGACAGAGAAAGAAAAGATGGTCTCTTTAAGAATGACAGTGAAACATTTCATATTCACAACTAGAAGAAATTCAAGTAAGGTTGCCTTAAATCAGTTTTTCACAGCACATGAAAAAAATTCAGAGTGAAATGATAACTCATAAACTAGGAGAAAATATTTGCAATAAATATATTGATATGTGAGTAATATGCAAATATATGAGACTGAAACAATTAAAATCAAAGAAAACATATAATCCAATCCAAGAATGGGCTGAGCACCTACATAGATATTTCTCAAAAGAATACAAAAATCACCAATAAATACATGAAAAAAGTCTCATTACCATCAGTCATCAGGAAATGCAATTAAAATAAGGAGGAGACATCACCTAACATTAGTTAAGATGACTACTGCCAAATGGTCAAAAAGTGTCAGTGTGGGTGAGTAGCAAAGTAAAATCATCTTGGGCTTCATTATGAATTAGCCCAAACAGCATGGAGAACACCATGAAGATCCCTCAAGACATAAAACTATGAATCCGTAAAAATAGTTACTGCCTAATAGAAGAATCTTGTCCCTGGGTGTGTTTCCAAAAGCATTGAAATCAATCTACTGAAAGAATGCCTGCACTCCCTCCTCATTGTGGCATTGCTCACAAAGCTAAGATCAGAAGCAACCTAGGTTCCCTCATCAGATGAGGGGTAAAGGTAATGAGGTGAAATGGCAGAGGGCCTTTCCTGTGTACCAACATGGCTGCACCTGGAGGACTCTGCTACGGGAATTCACCAAGGCTCAGAAAGACAAACACAACGTGACTCACTTATATGTGGATGCTAATAACGTTGAAATCATAGATCTGTAGGGCAAAATTCATGTTATCAAATCCAGGCATAAGGGCTTGATGGGTCATGGGTAAATATTGACCAACATACACAACATTTCAATTCAATAGAAAGAAGAAGCTTCAAGGACATATTTGCACGAAAGTATGACCATAGTAGCAATGCATTATATATTTGTCATTTGCAAAGAACATTATGTTTCAAATGTTTCACATGCAAAATGATGAGTATGAGTGATACAGTTATCACATTTAAATGATCCATTTTGTATGAATTATATCACAGTATCTCAATGAATCCCAAAAATACATACAATTGTTGTTTGTAAATAACTAAATAAACAAAAATTTTTTGAAAATAAAATATTCTACAAATAAAACTACCCAGGAGAAAAGACTTGATGTTCAAAATTGGAAATGTCTAACAGACATTACCTAAAAATATACAAAATTACAGTATAGAATTTTAAGAATCCTCTAATAAAATAATGTGTTCTTGGTAAAGTCAAAACAAATAACCAGAGTGAAATAAATTTATCAATTAACCATGGAAATTAAAAATCAATTTATTTATTCATTCAAATATCTGCAGAAAAGTAAACCTGGACAGAAAGTTTACATATAATCTTAGATAGAATTAAACAATATGACAAAGTAAACTCATACAAACACATTCAAATATTCAAAAATTTTAACCTTGTACCTTTGTAAGACTAAATATGATTCAAAGAGTAATTTTTTGAAAACATTTATACAGATAACCCTGGTAGAGATATATTTTGAAAAGACCCATGGAATTATTAGCTTGGTTGGGGGAAATATTTCAATGAATACCAAAATCATATCAAGATTTGCAGCTTACACTCATAATTTTTATTGTCACCTATATCTAGATAAAGCTGGAGAATAGATGTAGCCTCTTTAGAGATGAAACATTGATAGTTGAGGTATCTCAGGCATCAGAGGATGATGAGTCCCATCCAGACCTTCACCAGGTCATGAGCTCTGTATGACAGGAGGTGCATGGGGCCAAACACCACTGGGTTCTTCCAGGAGCAATAAGTATGGAGACACAGTGAGCCTGATGCACCTATTGTTCCAGTGCTGGACTGGGGCTAAATGGCACCAGTGCCTCCATGCTGAGGTTTTCCTAGAGAGAACTTTTAGATGAAAGATGAAGAGAATGTGGAATTCAGTTCTGAGACACAAAAATTGTTGTTAATATGTGTTTCATCCACCAGGATTCAGATTTATTTTTCATGAGGCTGAGAAATAATAAACCCCATTTTGTGTGAATCAATTTGTATGCACTGTTTGATGAGAAAAATGCACCCCATAGTACAAGCATTATTTCTTGCTCTCCAGGGAATTTCCAGTAGTAGTTATCTTTCTTTCTTTCTCCATGCTTCACTCTGATTCATGCTCTTCATGGCAACACAGTTTGAATGGATCCAGCATGGCCTGGATGTTTTCATCTGGATTACAGGGAGAAACCAAACACTTCCAAGTTACATTGTTTTGGAAAGTCAGCTTTCTTGTGTCTTGATTTTCACTGAATAGGGAAAGGGTTTTAGCAGATGCAACAGAAGGAGCCTGTGAGCATCTCAGTGTTAATCATCCCATTTTGTCCTCAGCCCTGAGTTGTCCCCCTGTCAAATCCCCTTGTAACTTATCCCAGCCTGAGTGGAAGAACAAATGCAAAGAGCACAGTGCAGACAGCAGGGTCTTCTTATAGGACCACACACTATGCTCGTCCAGGTTGGTAAGATCCAGCACCTGAGGTACTCTCAATACCACCAGCATCTGTTAAGGTGGAACACATAACATATGCCTTACTCCTTATGGTGCCTGACTATTTTTGATGAAAAATATCTCAAATATTTTCAAAAGTTTACCAAAATATATCAGAGGTGTATATTTTCAGGTTTTAGTATAAAACATGCAACAACTGTATAAGATATTTGAGACATAAACTTGTACTCGACCATAACAAGAACAAATATATCCAGACAGCGAGAAAGAGATAATCCACAAGTGTAGATCCACATTTAATAATATACATCAAACATGAATCAAACAACTCAAAATGAGAGTTGAGATTTTTATTATAGTCAATAAAACCCTTAACTGAGAACTCAGTTTATCTACTGAACATTCTTCTCAGAGAACCATTGATTTCCTTGATGTGTAGACAGTAGATGATGGGGTTCACAAATGGGAGCACCATGGTGTAGAACATGGCCATCAGCAGATTCTTCAGGGATGGTTTCTTTGCAATGTGACCCAAGACAGACACCTCCCCAGAGATGTGAAACAAAAGGAGAATGGCCAGCTGTGGGATACAGGTGGATATGGCTTTGTTACGGGCTTCCATAGAAAGGATCTTAAACACAGTTGAAAATATTTTAACATATGACAGAAACATAAAGGCAAGACACACTAAGATGAGGGAAGCACTTACAGCAAGAAGTACAAATTCAGAAAACTGGACATCTGAACATGAAATCCTCAGGATTTGAGGAATATCACAGAAATATTGGTGGATCACATTGGTCTTGGTGGAGGAAGCCTGAACAGAGCTCCTGTGTGGACAGCAGAGAAGACCAGACCAGAGACCCAGGAGCCAGCTGTGGCCTGGGAACAAAGACTGTGTGATGATGAGCCTGTAGTGCAGAGGGTCGCAAATGGCCATGTAGCAGTCATAGGACATGACAACCAGGAGGGCAAATTCTACCTCTGCAAAAAGAAGATAGAGGAAAATCTGTGCAGCACACTCCGTCAGAGATATGGTCTTACAGCCTGTCATGGAATTCACTATGGCCTTGGGAACAATAACTGAGATGCTGCCACAGTCTATTAAGGCCACACTGATTATAAAAAAGTACATGGGAGAGTGCAGATGTGTGTCTGTCATGATGACAGTTACAGTCACAAGATTTCCTGTTAGTGCTCCCAGATAAATCACTAAGAACAGCACACCTTGCAGAACCTGGGGCTCCCAGGATCCTGCAAAATCCACGAGGAGGAATTCTGTGAAGACAGTGAGGTTGTCCATGTCTGCCCACCTGCTGAGGTCTCTGTAGAGTCAGAAGTTAAAGTAAGCAGTGAATGCTATGAGCACAATGCAGAGTAGCCATCAGAACTAAAATGTGGGCTCTGATCAGGAACTCAAAATAGAAAACATGCATAAAATAAATTATTGTGAAATCCAGTGACTATGTTTATGTCTCTTTCACTTTTCTTTCCCCAAACTACTGGTATCTTATTAAATTTAACATTTATAGGATGAGATAAGTAATCAATATAAAGACAGATAAACTAGTCCTTTATAGCTAAATGAATACAACTGAAGACCATACTCTTAGGTGAAATAAACAGCACCCACTGGGGTAAATAATGCATTGTTTCTCTGGTGTGAGAAATGAAGAATAAATGACTAAAATGTGTAATTTGTGATATTGTGAAATGGAAAGAAAAGGTTCAAAGGTAAAGAGTACCAGGGGAGAGGCAGGGGAAAGTAAAGAGGGGAAAAATTAGAAAAGAAGAAACAAATGGAGCAGAGTTTTTGTAAATATTGGGGGTTGAGTTGTGGAAGGGAGGGCAAGGGAATGGGAAAAAATAACCAAGATATGTCATGTGCAGGGACAAATTTCCTAAGATGAATATGATCATAATGTGTACCTAATTTGGACCAATAAACTGAAGAAAACAATATATGATAGTTAAAATGAGGGCTGGGGATTTAGCTCAGTGGTGCCGCTGCCTGCCTTGCAAGCACAAGGTCCCAAGTTCAATCCCCGGTACCCCACCAAAAAAGAAAAAAAAAAGATAGTTAAAATGAAATGAAACCCCAGAAATCTTTCATTTGTCAGTACTTTTAAAATGACTTTTCTAATTCTCCCAGGACACCATTTGCTTCAGTTTTGCACAGCAATCCCAGCTTTACTCTAAGTGACTGTCTGTAACAAGCCCAGGTGTTGGAAATCCCTCATCTGCTCTTCATTCTCTAGGTCCTGGGCTGGAGACTGTGATGTAGTCCTTCTCTGGCTGATATTCTTCTCTGCTTTCCATAACAGATCTAATGGATGAACCTGAGCTTCCTTTGAAATGACTGTAATCTAAAGGACACCAGGCCGATCACCCTGCCCCATTCTTTCACTTCACATGCTCTTCCAGACCAGTGTGTGGACCTTTTCTTTCTCCCTTTGCACTGTCTTCTATGCAAAAAATTATTTCATTTGGGTGTAAAAATTCTGTTTTCCTAATGGCAGTGTTCAGCCTGCTTTCATCTTGTACTTCCCTGTCTGCCTGCTTTATGTTAAAACAAAACAAAATAAAATCAGCTTGAAGTTCTCCTCCAAAACGTAACCTTCTGTAAGGAATGGATTTGTTGAGGTGCCAGCATTCTCTCCACACCTGGCCTCTACTTGCTCTCAGAGATTTTGTGAAAATATCCTTGTTTTAAAATCATTGTTTTAAATTTACTTTATTTACATGTGCTTGTTTTTGTTGTTGTTGTTGTTGTTGTTGCTCTGGGAATTGAACTCAGGGCCTTGCACTTGTTAGGCAGGTTCTGTGCTGCAAAGATACATCCCTGGTCCCACCTGTGCTTGTTTTGAAGTCTTCGAATTAAAAAGGGTTTGTTAAGATACAATCTTTTTAGTACTAAAATGAGTTACATAGAAAGATATAATCTCAGCATTATTTTATTTTCATTGGTAAAAATATCACAGAGGTATTATAATATTGAAAGCATTAGCACCTTTATTATTAAATATTTTATGTGTGATTACTTTGCCATTACAAAGACATTTACTATTTTTCTGCCTTTCCATGCATAAGAATATTCATTTTTACACAGATGTGCATTCGTATGGCTATTAAATATATCACAAAAATATTTTACAAGATTGTTTGGTCTGGTAATCTTTTTAATTCCATGTGATTCTTCTTTTGGACTAATTTTTCTAATAAAGAGAATCCTATTGGCAGAGAACGTTACTCTCTAAATTGAAACCAGCTGATACTGTTGATAGAACTGATATAGTGTAAGTTACTGATGCAACCACACTTCTGGCCATTTTTCACTTACTTCACCAAAATTACAGAGAGGGGTCAATAGAGGTCTGGTCTCCTCCATCTCTTCTTATGACTGGTCTTCCACCTCAGTGCAAGCAAATCCTCCCATTTCCCTGTGCTAATTCACCTGTCCCTTGTATAACTTACCTTGCATCTCAGTACCACACAAAGGAGAATCCAGGGATTCCTACTCCTCTTCTTTTCTTCAGTGTATTTGGAAATTATTTCACTCACAACATAGAATGGACAGCAGCAAAGTGGTAGTTGCTAATTCCTCATTAATTATTAAGAGGCAGAAATATAATAATCTAACTAAAAATCACTTATTTTAAAATCTATAAAATTCAGCTATTATCCAAAATTATTCAAAATAATGACCTTACTAATCATCTCCACTTTTGTTACTAATTTAAGGACTATGTTTGCTTATGTCATTTAATTTGCATGAAATTCATTCATAGATTTCCTCTGCTTATAGCTCTGTTGCACTTTTCAAATCACTTGTCCTGATGCTCTGTTAAAGGGGATTTCCCATCACTATGAGTTCCATTTATCCTGGACCGTCTCTGAAGCACAGGTCCTCAGAGAACATTTGAAGAACTAATTGCCTGAAATAAACACTAAATATCTGAAACAGTCTATGTATTCTACAAGCACACAGGAGATGAAATTTTCGCAGTTGCTTAAGATTTTGTAGTACTTCAAAAGTACATATATGTGATTTATACATTACTAGTGTGGGTAGACATACATAAAAATAACTTGTAAATATTACCTGAGCAGTGGAGTAATAAGTCTATCCTCACCAACATGAATGCTGCTTTTGCTCAATGTGAAGAAACTTGATGAGATCCTTGCTCCTGCTTCTTTCTTCAGTGAGTAAGTGCAAAGTCACTTCTCAGTGAGACTCCCAGTGTGGATCATTTGTGCAGCCCTACTTCTGAAATACCTGTGAGCCTGCTGAGTCTTCACCAAGGACACGGGGTCACAGTTCTGATAAGCTCATGAGACCTGTTAATCCTGTGTTTCCTCCAAACCCTGATTGATGAGCATTCTGGGCTACACCATTGAGATTAATTAAATTTCTGCTAGACTTTTAAGGAAGTTGTTTATAAGTATGAGATATTAAATGAAAAGTAATCATACTAGTATGTTTTGTACATCACTCATGATTCAGTTAATTTCAAGTTCACATCTTATTCTGGAGTTAATTTACTGGCTTTCTAGCAAATCCCTAAAACACTGTCCTGGCACCATCATTGTGCCATGATCCTGTGCCTCAGTATTTTAAGGGTGACCATGTTTCTCTTGGCATGTTGATATGAATCTCCTGGGATTTTTTTTTTTGGAAAATTGGCTCATTTTCAAGCTGCTATGTATTGTTACTGTGGTTCTTCCATGGGGTTGGTTTACTGGAGCATGGTGCAAAAACTCAGCCCAAAATCCTGACACCAGGACTTGTATTTGACACACTGACCTATGCTTAGGTGAATTATTTGTATACTTGGAAACTTTGTAAGTTTTCAGTGCATTGAATCAAAATTTTAATGCATTTAATTTTGAGGCATTTTTTAGGTGACATAGTCTACCATGCATGATTCTGGTTATGTGTGTATTGACAGGTAATTTTAATCACCACTCCCATGAATGGGAGACATTTTCATCACCTTGGAAGGGAGGCCCTGTATCCACTCTTCTCTCATCCATATCTTCATCCCACTTTCTTCTCCTCAGCCTAACACTAGGCCACCACTAATAACTGCTTCCTTACTTTTCCTCCTCTAGATTTTGATATTAGTGAACCATAGAATATGAGGCCTCTGTCGTTTGCTTTATTCAGTTGTTATAATTTTCAAGGGAATCCATGCTGTGGCCTACATCAGAACTTCACTAGGCTTTATAGTCAAATAACATATGATGTGATCAACATATACAAAGAATGTTCAAATTTGAAGTGATCATCACATTAAAAGTCACATTGGCACAGTTGCCCCTCAGAGTCTTCCCATATCTTGCAAGGGACCTACCCCACCATTCTTGTCACTTTTAACCAGCTCTGGAAATCCTGTTTTGTGAGTGTGTGTAGTTGTGCTGTCCTATTTCCCTTGAGGTCCTGAATTGGTTCAAAACATTTACATATCATGATCCCATTGACTTTAGGGAAGATTTGAAATCACAATATGTCAGATATGATGAATATGATGGATGAGGACACAGTCTCATGTTTTATGAGCTGCCTATCAGTTGGACGGAGCTTGGCAGCAGCACAAAGCATATTTTTGAACACACTTCATGCAGAACCTACAAAAGAGGACTTCCAGAGCTGCTTCAGTAAGTGGAGAAGGTTGGTATGAGGGTGTTGGAAGTGAAGGGGAGGGTTCTGAGGGGGATTAATGGCAATGTGTCTTTTATTATAATCAATCTTAAATATTTAAAACATTGTGTACTGTCATCATACCCTGTATATAGCATAAGTTGTTCACCCCTTCCCAAATTGGTGAACATTTGGTTCCTTTCTAAATCTTGTCTACTATGAGCAATATTTCTATGAACATTTGACCAGTTTTGGTGCTTACCTGTGCTTCTAACTCTCTTGGGAGTGGTATTTTTAACCTGAGGTAGAATTCTCAGCTCACAAGATAGCTCTGCACTTAATCTCCTGAGGAACTGCACACTACCCCAAAGTTTAGGGAGGAGTTGGGGAGGTCCCAATTCCTCCACATCTTCCCTACCACTTGTTGTTACCACTGTAATCTGATCCTTTTCTGTCATGCAACTATGGCCTTCATTTACACTCTGATGACAATTCATGTGAAGAATCACTTCATGGACTTTTAGACATTTATAAATCTTCCTTGGAAACTGTCTGATTAGATCTTTGCCTATTTCTTACTGGATGCTTTGAATTTAATTATTGAGTTACAAGAGGTTCTATGCATTGTAATTGTGTCACTTGCCAGACATGTTTTTTGCCAA